GATCTGTGAACACTATTATAAATGTCCCTGAGACAGATTGTAATATTTTTCAATAAGTAAATAAAATTAATTTTTGTTTTCTTTGTCGATTATATTTATCGATAAAGTAACATTTGATTTCTTTTTCTTTTGATACGTTGCATTATTTTATTTTCTTATTAATCTGTCATTTGATAACAATGTGCTGTGCGAATTTTTCACACGGGCCTACTAGTTTATTATAACTATGAATCAGAAAATTTTAAATAGAAAAATTCATTACCATTCGGTCTGTTGAAAAGGTATTTTAGACCCGCTGAGCGATCAGAATACTAATCATGAACGAATGTTATATCCAATTCCAAAAGAGCTACTTATACCGCTTCCAGATATACCAAAAGAATAATAACAAGCTTATTTTAACTTGATAGACGTGGATTGAAAACCCACTCTCTGACGTTGCAGTCTTGAAGGGATTGGGTTTTTCCCTAAGCATTCATATCACAAACGGCTTGCGACTTCGGTTTTCTATCTTTAGTTTGAAAATGTGTCATTTGGAATATTTAATAAAACTCCCAGGTTCAGTAGTTACTGAATACAACAGCCAATCGCGACCTAAATGTTTTTTAATGAATAAAACTAATGGATGCTCATGCTTCTGAAATCTATCCCACGAGCTTTTCTTTTTTTTTTTTTTTTTTTGTAGTATTTATCATTTATTTATTTTACCATAAGTTACAATATATTGTACGAGCTAATAATATTTACACTAGTGTTGATCATAATGCATCCTTACACATTACTGTAAACATATTTTAAAGTAAGAAAATTTAAAAAAAAACCTACATAATAAAAGAAGAATTAAAATATAGCCGGTAAAATATGTTAAAACATAATATATGGTATATATGCACGAATACAAGAAAGTTAATTATATATTTTATCATATGTTGCGAATGTGTTCTCTGACCTCTATTATAAGTGTCCTTAATTGAGACAGATTGTAATATTTATCAATAAGTAAGTAAAATATTGAAAAAAAAAACATATATTTTACTAGTAGAAATAAAATTTATTAATTGTTGCGAAAGCGTTTTTCGTTGTTAATTTTCAGTTTCGTCAATATATTAAATTATTATTATGAGTGAGCTTTCTGGCCCTGAAGCTCCCTCCCTAAAAAATATAACCATTTCTTAGAAAAAAATTAATAAATTATCTCAAAATGTGTTATTGTTCGATGCATTTAAAGGGACTTCAAGAACCACTTAAAGACCATTTCATATAGATTTAGTTTCTTTGTTTTTCTTCCAAAGTAATTATGATTATATATAGAAAAAAAAAAGATTCCGGGCTGAATTGCCACCCAAAATTAAATCCTGGATTCGCTAGTAATATTCAATAAATATAATATAAATATATTATACTATAATATATTATAATAAATATAATATAAATAAATATTTTGTTCCGTTGCATGGCGTCACCAACCCACTCATTTACTACGTACCGCGTATAAAAAAGGTTTACTTAAAAAATAATTTAAATTGGACGTGTATTTCTAGGGACCGTATCGCCTTCAACGAATAAATACCCCCTCCCCTCCCCCCCTCCCCCCCGAGGAAAAAACTAACTATTTCCGGTATGTCCACTCACATGACCTTTCTAACGCTATTCCTGAAAATTCTGATACTATATTTTTTGTTGTATCACCGCTGATATTGGTCCGATAACTTTTTTTCTATGATTTCTTTATTTTGTTTTTTCACCTTATATTATTTGGAAGAGCTTTTGTTAGGCAATTTGAGAATCTTATAATTATAATCATCAATTGCTATATTCCAGGAGATCTTTGATAAAACCCATAATAACATTTGATAATTTAGCGATTCTTAACAATAAACACACATTTCTAGGGTCTAAAAAGAGAAATCGAATAGTCCTCATTGGTTTAGATGTAAAATATAACAGTGAAGTTAAATTAATATTTATAATAATTCTATAGTTTTATGTGAACATTTTTTTTTCCTATGATTCCTATGACCTAGCCTTTCCCGATTGCGCCAAAGTTAAAAAACATAATCCTTTATCTAAGTTATTCATATTTTTTTTTTTTTTCATTTTCAAAAATAAACTAATTTATTCTAATCAATGTAATCAAAATAAATTATCAAGACAAAATTGGACTCTGATAATCTTTCTTATACTTTAAGTTATTTATCTTTAACCATATTCCATTAAACATAAACAGTTTCCTCAATCCAAACTATAAATACATCAGACCCTAACATACAGGTGAGCAGTCAACTTGCTAACGTTTCGCCAATTCATGCTTCATCGGGACAGGAAAAAAAGTTGAAATTAATGTAGAAAGAAAGAATGAGAAAAAAAAATTGCTATTGACATCTCACCAAGTCATCTAAAAACATACATGTTGAAGGATACAAGAGAGGGAGATTATATAAAACAGCTGATTGGCAAGGATAAAGGAAACAAACTTAATACTTAAATTGGAATAATACAAAAACGTGTTATTGATATCTAAAAAAAATAAAAGATCAAACCATAAATGCAAAAAAAAGTCGGTGTATATAACATCCATACCCCACAAAACTTAGTAGATACATGGCTACTCCAAAAATAATATTAATAAAATAAGCAAATAGCTCGAAAAGGGATATAATAAATGGAATAATCCAAACCTCTTCTGTTTCCTTCATTATGTATTTGGATAGCTTGGTAAAATGTCAACAGCAAAAGTTTTTCTCTCTTTTTTTTTTGTTTATTTTTCTCTTTTCTTTCTACATGTATGTGATCTTGTTTTGTCTACCCTGATAATGCCTGAATTTGGAAAATGGCAGCTTAAATGTTCACCTCTACGTAAGTAACTCATGGCTTTATAATCTTTTTTTTTTATAATATCTCGTAGATAATGTTGAATATATTGACGAAATTGCTGAAATGAACAAAACATTATTATGGATAGTTTCGGGTAGAGATTCTGACTAAAATACTGTAACGATTAGAAAAAAAAATTAAAACTTATATATCAAATAGAATAACGTAGCAAATCAAGTATTATTGTTTTCCTTCAATCAACATCGCCTAAAAAATGAAAGAAGGATATTTTTCCATAGTTGGTCATCAATAGCAATCTTATTGCAAACAGAATGATCTGTACACAGCTTTGAACCAACGATATACAGCTTTAGTAGATCGTAATTGGCAACTGTTTCAACAAGATAACCGCTCTCCTATGTATCGAATTCCACCAACGAGGAAATACAAATCCCTCTTTTCACGCAGTTTCTAAAATATTTAAGGGCTATATGTTGGCTATTGTACGCCTATATTCATCACACGGCCTATTTTTTTTTATCGAAGTATTCTGCGCAGTGCTTTAAAAAAATATGGCATTGTTTTTCTCTAGCATATAGCGTGCAATCTTCAAAGATTAATAGGAAGTGTCAATAGATTTTTTGATTCTTTAAATTTAATTCATGCTGTGATTAGAACTGAGTAATTTTGAACTGTGGTAAACAAAAAACAAAAATTTATCTCCTTCAATTTTTTTTCCTTTAATTTTTTTTTTTTTAAATATTCAAGAGATAAACTTCTTGTACCAGTATTCCTCTTAATATATATCAAACAAAACAAAATATCATCGCTATTTAAAAAAAGACGATGAATAAAACCACAATTCTTGTATATCCATTATTTTATAAATTTCAATTTTTATGTTTGAAGGAGTGCTTTTGAGGTGAAATATAGTTGTTCAAATACTCCATGTCCTTAGTAGGAATAAAAGGTTTTTCTTTTTATGTAAGTATATATATTTTTTTATTCATTTATTGAAATTTATAACTCTTTTCAAACATCTTGGATGGATCTTATCAATTGTTGTAGATGAATGATTATGAACTTCAGGGTTAGGATGACAAACTGGTTTACAATTATTTCGCGTTTTTTTTTTTGTTTGTTTTTTTTGGATAATTGTATTTTTGACATCATGGGTATTTAGAATTTCTTAGAGGATTTTAGATGGGAGGGATTGAATACGTGAAGAATTCAATGATTTTGAGGCCGCCCAAGTCTCAATTCTGTAAATTTATTTAAATCTATGATTAAAACAAGACAATTATTCTTAACGAAGATTACTATAGTACTAACATATTACATAGAAAATACTTTGCGATTTTTAGAAAACACTAGATAACAAAACAGTTGTTGTTCATCCAGGGTCAAAACATCCCTGAATAAATTATTAAGTTATTTTTACGATATGTGAGTCATTTGAAAAATCCCTTTAATTATCCTATATATTATTTCTAAAAGGTGTTTTTTTGTCGGTATGCCATAACTTCGTCAATTCTTCATCAAATCCAATGATTGACCACTCATTTTGAAGATATTCTTCTCCTTCACATGCGAAAAATAGTCCCATCCCTGGAAATTTCCGGAAAAAGGTTATTGAGGAAAATAAACTTTATTTCCGAATAACTAAAAAAGTATGCATTTTTTTCTTGATTGCGCCCATGATAATTAGAAAGATTACTAAATTCCCTACAAAACAAAAATAAATCGTAAAAATCGGACAATTATTAACAAAGATACAGTCCATTAGTTTTGGTATACTTAATAATGTCCTCCTGTTTAAAGATATTGCATTTAGGAGTTTTTTTAAATTTTTTTTTCTGAGTTCTATATTAACTTTGTTATTTCTTAAAGACATTTGTTTGTTCTTACATTTTATTTTTTTTTAATAATTTAGAATATCCTATGATCGGGGCATTATTTTGTCGTTATTACTTTTATTATCTTTCCAGTCAGTGTTTAAAAATAGGTCCTAGCAATTTGTACAAATATTTCGGTCTATTATGTTTAGTGGAATATTGTAATCGACTAAGAATTCCTTCCTTACATAATGCATAGCAAACTGCTTATTTCCATATTGATTTGTTATTGATTAAACAAAATTTTCTGCGAATTTTTCACACGGGCCAACTAGTATTAATTAATGCCAGAAGTATCTCCCAACTGAATCCAATAATTAAATTATATAATTTTAATTTTCCATGTATTTATACTGTTTAAACATGTTTCAGATATAATTGGGGCTTGCTGGTTGGCCGGAGGGATCGTTGGCTTCCTTCCACTGTTCGGCTGGTACTCCGACGAGGGCTGGAGAGAAAAGGAGAGGTGCCTGTTCACCAAAGTCATGGACTATGACTTCTTGGTGTTCTTGTACTTCTGCACGATCGTTGGCCCGGCCCTCCTCATGGCCGCCTTTTATGCTCACATCTATTCCGTTGTGCTCAAGCAAGTAAGTCACCATTTTTACGACAAGAGGTCACAGGTTTAATAAAAGTTAACATTTATCGTCCATGTAGTTCTCCACTTTATTGCGTTGTTTTGCTGGATGGACCAAATATCTGAGAGGTCCTAGTTTGGAAAATAGAATTATTTATCGTTTTAATCCACTTTAGAACAATATTTTTCTGATCTATTGATTTATACTTTTACTACATAAATTTTAGTTTTAAAAAATAAAGAAACAAAATCCAAAGCGTTTGTCCCATAGATATCTATTCGCTAGAAAAAGCCTTTTTTATTTAGTCTGATGCATAAATAAATTCAAAATAATAATTTTAAAAAAAATAAATGTATATAGGTATGCACGTGTTTTTTGCTTAGTTTTAATTTTCTTATTTTTAGGTATTTTATTTTATTTATTGTATATACTTTTTGAATATTATTTATTGTTATTTTGCTTCTATTTATTTTATATTTTTGTACATATAGTGTGAACGTTATCCTACCTCACTATAACTAATGTCCATCCATGTGACAGATTTTTGTAATACTCAATAAATAAATTTTAAAAAATAAATACACACGCGCCCTGATGATTGACCACATGTTTGGGTTGAAGCGTCGGCACAAATAAAAACTTCATAATGACTGCGTCCTGAGTATTTATCACCCATAATATGTAGAACAGTCGACTAACTTTCTTCAATTATTAATATTAATATTTATTCAATTCAATAGATGTTGCAAACAGCGGTATACTTGGGCTAAGTTAAAACCGGATCGACAATGTTGTTTATTATTAATTATTATTCCTAATATTCCATTTAAAATCGGTTTCATGTAGGATTCTAATTCATAAATATTTTATATTCCTCTCCTGTAGCTGTCGATCTGGGAGCTATATTGAGTTTCGGGTTATTGCAAAACTTTTCAATTGTTCGAAACGATTCCATTATAGTAAGAGGCTATTGTAATGGATTTAAATATTCTTTAATTTTATTTTCATATTTTTTACTGTAAATTATAGTAAATTAATATGAAAAAAATGGTCTGAATTATAATACAGTCTATTACTTTTTTTGTTTGAGGTTATATGGCCATATTTGAATAGATTTTATTTCAACGTCAGGTTTTGAGACCATTTTGCATACACATTTCTTTATAATCAAGTATCTATTCTTTTTATTGGATAAAAAATTGTTCCAATTTTCAAAAAAAAAAAAAAAAGAATAGAAAGATAAGTTTTAAGCTGTTTATCTTCCTGTACAGTTTTCATATTTTTAAAAATATTGATACAGAATGGAATCATTTAATTTAATACCTTTATTTGTATATATACGTGTATTTGTTCCTATATTAAAAAAGTTCTACACTAAACCAAAAAAAAAATGCGGAATTCCATTATTAATGAAAAATTCTGTAGATGATTCTTTACTATTTAGTGGTTATCCTGTAATAATGCCAAAGAAAATTTTCCTTTAATTTATCACACCCATGTTTGGCAGGTTAGATACTGTATCCATTCTAAAAAAATAAAATTAAAATAATAATTACAAAAATTGAATCATAGTTCAGTTATTATATGCTCATTATGTTACAACCTTAGTATTCAAAATGCAATAAAAATAATTTATTTTTTTTTATTTTTTTTTTTTGTTCAAATTAACTTCAATTATTTATTTGTTTTAAGGTGTTATTTACAATTTAAAAAAATACCGATTTATTTTATTGCCAGCACGATTGTGGATGTAAACCCATCATACATTGTTCTTCTTCAATAAAGTTCGCTTAATATTGAACGAATACGGAGTGAAAGAAAAATTTTTGTTCTTAGGATGCTCCAAACTTAAAAACAATTGATCGCTGGAAACGAGGATGTAATAGGAGCCACCTGCAGATGGAAACCATTGAGCGAACATAGTATTTTAGAACCATCAATAGCCACGACCCCATACAAATACTGTCAAACCTTGGATAAATAATGAGAAATGCAAAGAATACCGCACTACCTGGTTCTGCCATCGGGGTTTTAAATGTTCTACGCTCGCTTCCCCTTCACAAACCTTCTACAAATATCGGATCTATTTGTGGATTATTAAAAAATAAATTAGAATCTAAAAAAATTGTTTACCTACAGTATTTTTTTATTTTTTGAAACTGGAATAATATTGTTTAATCAATCAATGGTATGAAAGTTGATTTTTCTATCAATTTAGAAGCCATAATTGTAACACTATTTCTAAACTATCCACAATCTATTCAAGTGTCAAGAGCTCTGACAAAAACGATTGTCAGAAATAGTTCAGGTGATATGGTAGAGCTTCAGTTTTTGGACCATGTATTTTTTTTTTTAAATCTAATTGGTAACCTACGTTTTCGGAAAACTTCAAGATTTAACACAGTTGGCATTTTAAAACAAAATATTCATGATACAGAGCTTCAAAACGAAATGGCATTTCATAGCTATAAAATGGTATAATATTTAAATATGTAACTGTATTAAATAAAACTGTATAATATTATTAAACTAAAAATATTTTCAATACCAAAGAATTTTGGTTTCCTAAATTATGATATAATATTGGTTTATTATTTTCAATAATGAACCACTGTAATCGAACTGAAAGTTCAAAAATTTAACCCCCTCTCGAAATTTGAGGTTTTACGTTTCAGAATACGTTGAATTCGAAAAACCAATACAAATTTTTTTGTACGTCCGCCGTCCGCGCATTTTCTTCGAAACTACTGGATTTTTTTTTTAATTTATGAAAAAACCAATAAATATAGACCAATCAGCCTACTCCCAATCCTTTCAAAAATTTTTGAAAAGATCCTTTTGAAACGAATCCTACCCATTATAGAATCCCAAAATATCCCTTCCCATCAGTTTGGTTTTCGCTCTCAACATTCTACTGTTCAACAAGGACTCCGAGTTGTTGATCATATTTCCTCAGCCCTAGAAAACAAGGAATACTGTTCGGGTGCCTTTCTGGACATTGCACAGGCATTTGACCGGGTATGGCACTCCGGACTGCTCTCCAAGCTTAAAATCCATTTACCTCAGTCCTTGTACCTAGTCCTCCGATCCTACCTCTCTGACCGCTCCTTTCGAGTTCGCTGTGGAACAGAATTTTCCAATATCTACTCCGTTAAAGCCGGTGTTCCCCAAGGCAGCGTCTTGGGTCCCGTGCTTTACATCCTCTTTACTGCTGACATCCCTGTTCATCCCGATACTTTTCTTGCAACATTCGCTGACGACACCGCAATCTTATCATCCAACTCTGATCCCGAAATAGCATCCTTAAATCTACAAAACCACCTCACCTTGATTGAGCACTGGTGTAATAACTGGCGCATTAAAGTTAATGAATCTAAATGCCAACACATTACCTTTACACTCCGACGCAGTTCCTGTCCACCAGTGCACTTTAATTCCATCCAGCTTCCTTACTCAGACACAGTCCGGTATCTTGGCTTTCATTTAGACCGAAGACTAACGTGGAACCCACATACTAGACTCAAAAGACAAGAACTCAACCGACGATACGGCCAGCTATACAGACTACTAAACAGAAAATCCAAACTTTCTATTGAAAACAAATTACTTATCTACAAGACAATACTGAAACCTATATGGACATACGGACTTGAACTGTGGGGGACAGCAAAAGCTTCTAACATCAAACGTATTCAATCCTTTCAATCTAAAGTCCTTCGAACAATAGTTGATGCTCCGTTCTATGTAAATAACAAAATCCTACACCATGACCTTAATATCCCATTTGTCCTAGACCTTATTCCAGAAAAATTCTCCAAATTTCACCAGAACCTTACCTATCATCCAAATCCCCTTGCACAATCTCTATCCAGCACCACCCATCCTTACAATCCTCCTCGAAGGTTGAGGCGGCAGTGGCCCAGAGACCTTTTGTAAATAAGCATCTATTGGAGTTTTGGCAATGGCCAGATCCTCCACTCAAGCCCGAGTGTGTATGATTAGGTTAGTTCTTTTGTTTATATACATTTTTTTTATTTTATTGTATTTATTTTTATTTTATTTTATTGTATTTATTATTATTAAGTTTCTGTATTATTATTTTTTTTTTATTGTAAATAGAGTGTGAGTGTGCTTTCTCTGAACACTATTATAAATGTCCTTGATGTGACAGAATGTAATATTTCTAAATAAACAAATATAATATATAATAGCCCAAAAAAAAAAAAAAAAAAAAAAAAAAAAATTTATGAAATTTCTTAAAAAACAAAATAAACTTAAAATTGGACTATTAGGAGCAAAGCTATGGTCCTTAGATGTGTTTTTTGTTCTACTGCAAATCCTTTGTTTTGGATTTTGATTTTTGAATATGTTACTGAAGTAATGTTTTTTTTTTATCATATTATTTTATTTATTTTGAAAAATATTACAATCTTTCTCAAAGGAAATTTATAATAGTGTTCAGAGATCACATTCACACTTTATGTACAATAAATAAATAATTAATGATTACAAAAAATGTTTAGGCAAATTATTGCAATTAACTTTTTATTTATTTTTAATTTGTCACTCGAATGGTAATGTTACTTTAGATGTATAATTGTCGTGAAATACTAAAATATTGTGATATAATGTTTGTTTGTAAGAAAATCTATTAGGCTAGCTTACTTTATAAGTTTTAAAATATATAAAATTAATTTGACAAGCAATTGTTTTTAAAATTTTGTGTATTACCTTTAATCTATTCTAAAAAAAAAATAATTTCTTTGTTATTACAAACATATGAATATTGTTTTCCTAATACGATAGCTCGTTGAAACTGAAAAAGCTTCATCTTTTTTTCTCAGCTCCTCTATTTTCTCCTTTGGACTAAACGGACAATGGTATGTTAATTGATTTGTTTTGAATGTAGAATCATCAGAAAAATGTTGATCGAAACCGGTCATGGACACCCCCTACACTCCCCTCTTCAGTGAGCTTAGTAACAGGACCTATTGGCGTACTCGTAACTAAAATTGATTTTGGGGCTAATATTGAAGAGGTAATTGAACCAATCACGCCTCATTGATCCACCGCGGTCGACACCTAATGGTGGGATGGTCTCAAAGTGCAATCGATACCTTCATAGTTCCCATCTTGCTAAACTTGGGAAGTACGAGTGAATGGTTCAAGAAGAAAAAAAAACAAAAAAATGGATTATTTTTTTTTTTCATGAATCAAAATAACCTGTGTAGATTGTATGAATTCCCAAAACACTCAGTTCTTCATTAGTTCTTCTTTTTACTTTTTGCAGTTTGTTGACCTTCAGTTGGTAGAAAAGTTTGTTGACTAATGGATAAAAGTGTTGGCGGAATCACTCTAAAACTGAAGCACAAGATTTTTAAAGAGGCTTTGGGTGAACCAGGATGGTTTCTATCTACTGCTTATAGCTTAATCTCTGACTATCAACACAATTTTTAAGTTCCATAATCTTGAATCTTTCATTTTTAAAATATTTCTGATTTTTTATGTTATTGGATAACAATATAGGTGGTTTCTTCAATGACTTTTTATTTTCTTATATTGTCTTATAAATTAATTTCTTAATTTTTAAATGGTTTCGGGCCAATAAATCATTCCGACTTACGTTTATAACTCCTTAATTTAAAATATCCTTTTTTATTTGGAGGTACATAAAGTGGACAATCAAATGTTTTCATACATGCATTGTTTGAAAATAAAAGAATATTTTACTAAATATTTTGTTTATTTAAATATCCAAGTATAACTTCAATACCCCTTTTATTAATTTATGCAAAATATTTGCTTAACGATTAATGTCATTATATAAATAGGCAAACACAAAACGGTTCAGCCACTTTTTCTTCTCTATTATTCAACCGAATTTCTTCCTTCTTCTTTTTTTTTTTTTTTTTAATAGCCATTGATGAACTTTAGTGTTATCAATAAATAAAAATATGAAATAGTTAGTAAATAAAAATATAAATGGTAGTTTGTTCAAAACAGCTAATCTCCCAAAGTTCTTCACCGATTTCTTAGATATTTATTATTATTATTATCTTTTTTGTCAGCGTCTAAAAATAGGCTCTAGCAAAGCAATTTGTACAAATATTTTGCTCTATTATGTTAAATGGAATATTGTAATCGACCAAGGAAAAAATAATAATAATTCCTTGCTTACATAATAAATAGGATCTACTTATTTCCATATTGTTTTGCTATTCCTTCACTAAACAAAATTTTCTGCGAATTCTTCGCACGGGCCAATTAGTAATGAATGAATTATTGTAATCCGATTGAGAAAAATAAAATTAATTCCCCCATCTCTTAATTCATTACATTGACTTATTTCTATATTATTTTGTCATTTGTTACTCACCAATATACCATGTTAATTATTCACATATATTGTATATAGGTGTGTATGTATTCTTTTTATTTATTTATTTTTAGGTTATTTTATTATTATTTATTGTATATATATTATTTTATTTATTGTGCATAGAGTGTGAATGTGATCTGTAATCTCTATTATAAATGTCCTCGAGACAGATTGTAATATTTTTCAATAAATAAGTTAAAAAAAAAAAAATTATTCACAAGAGCATACTTCATACTTCACTTAAATTTAATCCGTATTTTTGTAATTTTAAGAAATAAACTTTCTAGCCACTTCACGAGGCACTAAGGCAATTCAATTTATACTACATCTACATCTGGTAATTAACCACATATGCATGTATGTGATACGAGCAGATGTGATCTGGTCAGCTTCGATCTATATCCTAAGGTATTTCGGTTCAATTTACATCTTACAATTAGTATCAATCTCCACTAATTACAAATTAAGCTCTTCTAATAACTTTGGTTTCAAACCTCCAATTAAACGTTAATATAGTGAGGTACCAAAGTATATTAATTATCTGGCGACAAATTACTCTCTGAAGGACCAAGCCACGTAGGTTTATTGATCGATAATAATTTAAAATACATGAGTATCTACTTTCTTTTGTATTTCTAACTGAAAGATGGCAAGTCCGATTATGTCACTAGCCCACAGAATATCCTTTGTCCGTCTCTACCAAAATAAACTATATTTATCAATAGTTGATTCTACAGGTCTGGCTATTATTTCTTGAAGTTTCTTCGAGAAGCGCACGACATTGGCGTTTTAACAACTCAGCCATTTTGTGTTATATTGAGTAATCAAACACTAAGGCTGAGAACAGGTGTGTCCTACCCAATTCAATCCCATGCCATTTAATGCCAGTTTTATACTTATGTCTTAGAGCAATAAATCACTCCGTTTATAGTTATTGAAACATGATTCTTGAAGAAGTGTTATTAGAATGCAATACGAACCCGTCTCTCATGAACGGAGCAAAAAGGATTTTAAAAATCTAATAAAATTTATTAAAAACGTTTCCAGTCACTGAGAGCCCACGATAACACGATTGCCTTTATCGCAGTCACTGCACTCAACTTATTTTTTGCGATTATTTTCTAAACTCGCTCAGTCGTGTTAGAGAGTTGTTGCGGGCTTTTGATCCAAAGAGGTATCTTGAAATAACCTTATTGGAATTTATAATCCATTCTATCATCTATTAATCCCTTATATCCCATCAATTAATGGAAATTTAATTTTGAAGAATAATAAAACCATCACTCAATTTTAAGTCTAGTTACCCAACAACTGTTGATAAAATGGTTGATGACTTCCTGACGTGCATGTCATACATCTCAAAATTCGTTTTGATCTTTTTTCCGTGAAACATTGGATTGGCTTCGTGTTCCTTTCAAAAACAGAAAATCTACCAAAAAAAAAACATTCTAAAACATGTTTCATCGATGCCGAAAGCCATTAAGTTACTTTTTAATTTAATAAGATTTAAGGAAAATCTGTTCTACACTGACTGGAAATCTCGTAAATTCAAGTTAGATAGTGTATATATATATGGGAATTATATCATCAAATATGTGATTTTCATCGCATCGAAAGTGTTAGACCAAATAAACGGAAGCGCCAAATCGAAGAAATTTAAATTTTCAGTAAAAAAAACTTATCGCTTCTGAACATTTGAATATTTTGTAGCCCTGATGAAAACCAGCAAGGTGGATTGAAACGTTGGCGTAATAATTAAAATACCATTTTTTCAAAATTTAGTATTTATTAGACTGCACCCCAGACCAACTCCTTCTCATATTACATCACGATCTCTGCATCATTTTGAAAAACATTTAAATTTAATTGTTTTGACCATCACGCCTTATTCCTGATAACCCCTTCGATGTACTCGGAAAAGGAACTCATCGCATTGATAAACTTGACAAAACAGAGGGGTTTTCCCCATGAATCAACACTAGACAAAGGCAATACCCTAGTTACAACCAACAGCCCAAGCAAATAATTAAATGCAGCTCATAAAATAATTAGAGAAATCGTTTATCTAGGAGAAATACGAAGCAGCATCGAAAATAAGAGAACTGTAATATAATAACAATACTTATAAGGTTGGCTGGAATTCTATTGTTATAAGGGATTTTTTTTTTCAATTAAACTTGAAATCACAGCAAATAGTTCTTGCTTAATAATATTTCTCAGATACGGATGTTAGAAATCGGACGATTTGTTGCTGAGTTATAGCGTTCTGAACATTTAGTATTTTTTGTACTGCAAAGATTCTATTGCATATGGGAATTGGCCCTTCTTATCCGTGGTAAAATGTGTATTGCAACGAATAGAAATGTTTTTTTTTAACTTCAAAACTTTTTTCAAAACATTATTTTTTTTTTTATTTATTTAAATGTATCTTCCTTAAAACACTTCTTGGAATGTTTGGCAATATGCTTCAAGTACTTCTGATTTTTCTTTTAAATCTTTATTGAATGAAGTTTAGCATTTTAAAAACATACATCCTGAATTCACTAACTATTTCTCTTTGAGAATTTGAGCTTTTACCGTCATCAGATATTTAAAGCAATGTTTTTTATGAAACTTTTGTTAAAGCTATGATAATCTATAAAGGAAAAATCCAATATTTAAATAATAAGTTTAAGAAAGCGCATGGTAGATTGTAAATCATATTTATAACTGATGGCTTACTAAATACATGCATTGAACCTTTGCATATCTAATATTATTGAATAGAAGTTGTGCTGAGCCCTTAATGTATTAAAATCAGATACAAATATTAGGTTTGTGCGGAGTATTCGCAGGGTCAGCTAGTTTATTTTATAATTATAACTTATTTCCACTTTTGTTTTAATATATTTCATTTGAGCTCTTTATGTCTTTTTGGTAGCTTCGCCAAATGGTGACCATCAACGGAGCTGGAGGATCGATGCTGCGGGTGCTGGGAGCGGCGAGGAAGAGGGACGTGAAGGCGACCAAGAACCTCTCCATCATCGTCCTCTTCTTCATCATCTGCTGGTTCCCGCTCTACACCATCAACTTCGTCCAGGCCTACTGCCAGAAGTGTTCGGTCAACCCATCGGTGTTGAACTTCTTCATCATATTGTCGCATCTCAATTCCGCCGGCAACCCTCTGCTGTATGCTTATCACCTTACAGACTTCAGGGCTGCTCTAAGGTAGGTATTAATAGTTTATAGGAAGACCTATCAACAAAATATCAGTAAAATATTTTAAACCAAATTTTATTCATGGTATTGTTTCGTACCTTCAAAAATTACAATGAATTTAATTAGATTCTTTTTTTTAAATTGAAGTTGAGGTCTACGAGATGTGGCTCTTAAATAACGAGACAGACATGTTGCGCTGGACGTAAGACAGAAGCTCTTACAGTTTGATTGAGACGTTCTACCTCATCCTCCGTACTACCCAGATCTTACCCCATTTGATTATTAATTGTTTCTTTCGTTAAAAAATTCTCGCTGTGATAAATGTCACAAATCTCAAAGCAAAATAAAAACGCATCTCGATGAATATTTGGCAAGTCCCACAATTTTGGAAACAAGGGCAAATGATTCTTCCTTAGACACTAGCGGATCCAGGATTTAATTTTGGGGGGAGCTTCAGCCCGAAAGCTTTTTTTTTTCATAATAATGACGATGTTTACTTTGGAAAAAAAGAAAGAAACCAGCTATCTATATGAAATGGTGTTTAAGTGATTCCTTAAGTCCTTTTAAATGTAATTACACGAACAATAATACGTTAAGAGATAATTTTTAAATATTTTTTTCCATAAAATATGGTTATATTTTACCATTTTGAGGGGTGCTTCAGCCCGAAAGCCCCCTCTCCCTCTGTAGATCTGCCCGTGTCCTGAGAGATGGAAGAAGATAATAGGACACAAAGGTTCATATATAACTCAGTAAATAAACGTTAAACAGCACAAAAAAAAAAGAGGAAGAAACTTATGGGGAAGCCTAATATTAAATACTGTTATGTTACATTTAACTTTTATCTCATCCCCAATATTTCCCAAATACCGACGCCTCCGATGATAATACATTATTTTTAAGTACTATGCTACAGCCAAACAAAGTAGGGCTTAGTAATTTGAAGCTCTATAAAAGGTTTTGACCTGATAATAATAAATAAACTTTTTACAAGCCTGTTTTCCCAGATTATTATGACGGAGACCTAATTATGTTTACTTTGGTCTTAACTCTTGCCTAAGTATGACATCGCATCTCTCCTCAGGCAACTAAAAGTTTCACTTGATCGATTCTGTTTCATAACGATTACAATTAGACCATAACAGCTATAAATCAATTAGTTCCCGCTAACGTCATCCTGCTCCTGAGGCTACTAAAGCCATAAAACAATGCTCTTATTTTTAAGGAACGTTAATTACAAAAGAATAAATAATTCAAAGAAGTTTTTCTTGGTTAATTTGAGGAAGTTGGAAGATCAATATTTAGAAATTCCTCCAACTATCTGTATAGTAAGTATACTATGGTCACAGATAGTTGGAGGAATATAGTAATACACCAGATCTGGCCAACCCAGCAACTCCAGTTATTATTATTTTTTTTTACCCAGTCAGCAATTTTGTTTCTTATTATACATTTACAAAAATTTTAATTAACTGAAAATTTATATGTAACATTGTTCTAATGCGTATGTGGCCATATACTCCAGCTTTTTATTTTACATCCATAAACGCCAAAATTATTAAAAGAATCAGAAAAAATTAGTAAAAGGTAGAATGAACCAAAATCTTATTAGCTAGGACTCAAAACCTTTTTATATTGAATCATATAATAACAATAATATTTTATACATTTTGTTATTATACATTCTTTAAAATTACTTATTGTTAAAGTGTAGCCCTCAATTATTTTAGGAATCATTAAAATGGTAGTGAAAAAGTTGGGTTGGGTTAGGTCTGGTGTATAAGGTTAAAACAAATATGATTCAATTTGGTTTACAATTACTTCTTTCAATCACTCGCTCTTCTTCCTTCCCTTTGTTTCTGTAAAGTATTTATGAAATTCTTATCTTTTTAAAAAGACAAAAGGATATAAAAATAAAAGGATAAAGGACATTTTTATGTATTTCCTATTATGGCAGTGTAGTCATGTTTCAGTGTAGTCAAGTCCATTGAAATTTCATCTGAAGGAAACTAACTTCAGATCATTATTGTATTCTTCCATTCCGAGATACCACATCAGCTTTTCTATTTGGCCTTCTGTAGGAATCTTAGGAAGGTTGTTTAGTCGTTAGCTCCTGTAGACAATTATTGCAAAGCGTCAACTCGAACTAGTGCTGATCATGTCAGAGTAAGCTGAATTTCGGTAACCAAAGTTATAGACCGCTATATGAGCTCCATTCTTAGAACAGATATTATAATAAAATAAAATAAACAAACAAAATCACCAACAATCTTGGTGTAAGTTGTCCCCTAGTGGTCCACATTCTCAAACACAATAGGGGAAAAACCAGATTATTCACTTTTTTTTTTTAATTGGATTGTTGATGCAAATGTATTCAGAATGAAAATCTCCATTATTTCAGGTAGTTGTAATGTGAACTAATAAATTCAATAACAAATATAATTGTATTCACTTTCCAATTTCCTTAAAAATTGTTGGTTTTCAGTCTGATTCCATTTATAAAATTTACATAATTTAACAAAAAGTTACATCCTCTCTAACTTCTCAAAAAAATCCTCATTACATTATATTGACTTTTTTTACTTATCCAATAATGTTCCTTTAATCACATAGCTTTTCACTATATTATTATTAAACCTTTTACTCCATAAAATCCAAATTTCTCTGTGTGACAAAGCACTCCTCAACTTAGTCTATCATTTTCGAAATCAATAATGAATTCCCTATAATACACAATCATTTTTTAAGAGAACAAGCATGTGTTGATAATATTTATGTTTAGATCTGTATATTGAGCTAATTTTTATAGCTTTTAATTTTTCTAAATCGATATATACAAAGTCGCTCAAATTTTGCTGCAACAGTCCAATTAAATCAATTAAATTGTAACATAAATATATATATTTTTTAAGTGAAAACTTCTGTCAGATTTCCAATGTGTCGACTAATTGAAGTGTTTTTGCATATGGATTAAAATATATCAAAAACTAAAAATCGGGCCTGCATACAGTATGTAAGGGAATTTTTCAGCATTTCATCCTCTCTGTAATGGGCTAATATTCAATCATAGCTAATATCGTGCCAGAGAGGCAAGTGCTAGAAACTAAATCATAACAGATTACATTTTTGTTTATTTTTTTATTTTTTTTTAATGAGGTTTTTACTTTTTAACAGATTTCATACTAAATATTCTCATGAGCAAAGTTTACCAGAGTTATTTAAACACAATTATAATTTTATATATTGTAAATGTTATAAATTTATGAATATAGAACAAAATTTGTACACAATCATAATTATATACATTGTAAATATTATTACTTTGTGAATATAGAACACAAATGAATATTTATATTTCATCTTATTAATGCCACATTGTTGATGTTTTCACTTCTATCATGTGATCTTAAGCACAAATCGTAATTTTTTTTATTTTTTTTTAATATTTAATTTCTACATTTTATTCTAGGACATTACTATGTGAAACTAGAGGTAAAGATACCGCACTTCAGCCAAAGCGCCATCCGGTGTACAGGATACCGAATTCTACTCCAAAGTTACCTCATAAAATATTTGATCTTGAAACGCCTGAGCAGAAAGCAGATGAAAGCAGGTAATTTCTAAATTGGAACTAGATGGTACTTTGGCATGAAACCATACCAGATCAGAAATTTGTGTACTATAATTCATAGTTTTATATAAATCTACGATAATTATAGGTTAACCACTAATTCAGCCAAAGTGTCATCCTGTGTACAAAATATCAAATTCTTTGTATTCACCCCGAAAAGATTTTTTAATTTTATTTACCTTTAATAATTGCACATGTTATCCATGTGATATATATTTTAGTTCTTATTCTTCTCTGTTCTTGGTTCCGTGAAACAACTTTTAAAAAAAAACAAAGTATAATATTGATCATACAAGCCTTAGCAATGTTATTTCTTATGCGATCAATGGCTCAATTACACCATTTACAACACACTAATAATCTCACATGCTGCATTAATGAGATTATTCAACATGCCAGAGTCCATCTGCACCTTCATTTCTGTTTTTTCTTGTCACTTAATCATTTAAATATTTTTTGAAATTTCAAAATGTGTTTTCTCTGAAATGATTGTTGCTAGATATTCTGAATGTTTTGTACAATAATATCTTCCTCAAATCAAATTTATTTTCCCAAAGCACTTGTTATTTGTTTTTTAAATAAATAAAATTATTATGCCTGAATTGGCAAAACATTGACTGGTTAACGGTTCACTTTTATGTTAGAGACTCATGGCTTTATAAGTTAATAAGATTGTTTATAATAATAATAATAATAAGGCAAGGCTCTATTTGCCAAGAAAAGAAGGAGGCTGTGGCCTTATATCGATAGACGACTCTTGCAGAAAATAAGAAAACTCACTAAAGGTATTACAAATGCGTCTCCAATCATCAACTAGATGAAAGAATTGGATGAAGGTTACACTGCCCAGAATTTTGGCGATCTGATTCGATTGGAAGTGAGAAATGTTGACGGATATGGAAGAAAAAGGAATTACATGACAGATTTTACCACCAATTACATGAGCCGGAGATTGGCAATGAGCTCTCAATTGAGTGGTTAAAGACAGAGCAAATATATGGCGAGACAGAGGGTTTTTTTATAGCTTTTCAGGATCAAATTATCACAACCAGGGCCTATAGGAAATATATACTAAAAGAAAACCTGGCCACGGATAAGTGTCGGCTTTGCTTGAGGACCCATGACTCTATCCAACATGTTACCAATGGCTGTGATACTCTGGCAGGAACTGAGTACCTCATGAGGTATAATAATGTATAATAATAATCGCAAAAATATATCACCAAAGTATATGTAGAAAATTCGAACTACTGGAGAGTGATGAGTTACCCTATTATTGCTATTCCCCAAAAAAACTTAATGAAAATAGAAATATAAAACTTTAATGCGATCAAAATATAATAACGGACCATAGGGTATTAGGCAACCGTCAGGATATCTTGTTTATAAACAAAAGAAATAAAACTGGAGAAATATAGATATAGGAGTACTTTGTGATACCAACATGGTAACCACCAGGACTGAATAAATTATAAAATACGAAGAACTTGCTTTCGAGTTAAAATGCTATATCACTTGGAAAAAGTGAAGATTACTTCAATAATCATATCTTCTAATGGGATAATATTGAAAATCACAGTAGATGGTACCCAAGAACTTAGACTTGATTTGGCACATTTGAAAGCAGCACAGTTCTGCTCGATACATGCAGGAAAGTTTCTACATTAGTAATTTTTTTTTTTTACTTTTATCTATATTCCCTTGATGTTTTTTTCCGGGATGTGGATGCTATTCCAGAAATCTGAGAAAGCTAAGACAATAAAAAATAGCAATAATAAAAATAAAGTAAAATTTAATTGGTGATTAATTTCTGGAAGTAAGGATATGTATTTGTTTTTATAAGTATTTATAGTTGATATAAATTTTTAAGTCGTAAATTGTCAACAGCAGAAATTCATAGTTTTTAAAGAAAAATATCTACATTAGAATGATCTAATAAATGGAAAATAATAGATTAATATTTTGAAACATCATAACGAAATAAGTAAATAAATGAAATTTGAAGGTTTTTTTTTTTTTTACCAGAAATAAATCACCAATTAAGTCTACATAAAACTTTTGAAAAGTAAACAATTTGTTTGTTGTTTTTGTTAAGTAAAATTATTATTTCAGGTACAGGATTCTGAAAGCAGAAAATGGCAGCAGGTCATCATTAGATTCCAACATAGACCTGGAAGTTACGTATAGAACATATGGCCTCGCTCACTCAAGCCCACCCACTCCTACTAAACCTCAAGTTATTATTGACCCAACTTAAATCAGTCTTTTCCAAAATGGGGCTCCACTTATAATAATTTATTTTTTAAAAAAGCAGGACTGCCTACTTCATGATTTCTGTTTATCAAACAGTATAGGGTTGGCATTCTGTATACAACCTTCTACGTAATTGCATTTCATAAATATGTAGAAAAAATATACCAAATAGCCTTAGAGGAAGACAAATACAAAATATATATTTTAAAAGCCAAAGCAATATAGAAATATTTTATTATATAAACGATTAGCCAAAAGAAATTTTATTTTAACGAGGTTTATTTAGATTTTCGATTCATAAATAAGATATTTATGTAATTTTATATTATCATAAAATAAAAATGAAGAAAATTATATATTAAGTTAGCAGGTGAAAGTGAGATTTTATTAAGCCAATTGTTTTATTTTCACTAGATTAGATTTTATAATGTTAAAACTGTTTCATTAAGATATAAGCCATTGAAATCACTACCGGCCTAAATTGGATTATATTTATGAAGCAACACACTCATATAACTTTGTATATAAGCTTATACTGATCATATTAACAATGTTTGTGAATAAAATGAATATTTAGAACCTACTAACAGACATTTGTAGGTAATATTTAAATTTAATAATTAGATTAAATATAAATGCCCAATTAACAGTTGCATATTATTCAAAAATGATATGTTATATGAAAGACATAGCTGTAATTTCTTTCTCTTTACTATAACCCTTATGTATGTTATAGAAATTTTCATTTAAGTTTTGTTATATCATTTAATATTATATGGCTATTTCCATTTCTCATCAGTTACCCCCAAAATTTTTTACAAGTTTCGATCATTCTTTACTATATTTATATATTACTGTAACTGACAGATACACAAATCAGGAAAAAGATAATTGATTTATTTGTTTATACATTTTTTCGCTTATAGTTTTAATATAAACAATTAAATAACTAATTCAAGTTCACATTATTTTTACTAATTAAAACATAAGATATACCTCCATAGTTGTAAATAGCGAAATCAGTTAACTTTATTCATTACATTTTTTTTATATAACATTATTGAAATATTCCATTGTATTATTTGAAGTTTATTAAAAAAATGTAATTTAATAATTTAAACTTTTAATTTTGACATGAGTTGTTTGTCATATTATTTATTACTATTTTTTTTTATTTATTATTTATTTTAAAAAATCTGTGTTTATTTGAATCTACTAAACTTAACACTATGTTTTTAGAAACTTTTATAAGTCTGATTTATTTTAGTCATAATAATTGTTGTGTTATTGTCTTACATGTAGGATTTTTTTATTTGTTAGGAAATTAGAGTGTCTGTGTTTTCTTATTCAGTTCATGAAAGTTTAAAATATCTGATATTCCTAACTTTATTTCTAAATTCCTGAAAAAATTTAGAGATGTTAACCTATACAGATTAATGGGCATCTATATAATCAGCCACATATCAAAAAAATAAATAAATAATCAATGGATCAATATATTTCTAATTACTTGGACAAATTAAAGTATTGTTATTCAAACATTTAAAAACTTGATTGTTTCTTGAATGGCAGTTGATAAAACATACTTGATTGAAGAAAATTTTATTTAATATACAACAGCTTCCTGTTAGTTTCAAATCTTAATTAAAAAATCTTTATAACCCTGATCCTCTCTATCTCATCCATATCTACTTTATCAGTGTTGATCTTTTGAAGAGAAATGATTATTGAATTGGTTCTAAAAAAACTTGATAAAAAATAAAAATATCAACAAAAAAAATTCACAAAATTTCCATTTTTTTGATCTGATTCTCATTTAATTGCACTGACCTTAGGTCAAGGTAATATAGATTTAATCTACTACAATAGGCAGTAAAAGACTAAATTGTAAAAATGAGATTTCTCATATAAAAATTCCTGTTGAACAAAATTCTTTAATTCTCACTTAACTCTTATGATTATTATTCTTTAAGTGATCCCAGATAACTGGTTATATCCATAACATGTTTGAAAACCTTGAATTAAAACATAACACACTTGCCATACTGTTTTTAAAATATGAACATTAACTTGCCTTCATTTATGATGGTACATAGGCAATTAGCTTTTAGATAGCCCTCGACATCAAATTTTAAAATTATCATCTAAAAAGGCTAGAACAGGGGTCTCTAATCTACTGCCCATGAAAGTTTCTTTGATTACATGGTAAAATTTAAAAAACTATTTTAAAAATATGAAGTTCAGGAAATCACTCAAGCATGAGGTTACTATGACATTTATTCCATGAGTTGTTTCTCTTAGAAAGCTCATTTCACAATTGAAGTGTCATTTATATAACAAGCTTTTTTTTTTTTCATCACAAGCCATGGCCCTTAGCCAAGACTTAGCAGAGGTCTCAATGTGGCCCTCGGGCCAAAACGTTTGGAGACCTCTGGGCTAGAAATTACTGTCTTGTTGATAAATGCACTAGTTATCAGATCCTGTATTCCCTTTTTTCTAGGGTAAACTTGGAAAATCCTTCCTTACTTCATGTTGTAGCTACCTTGTGAAGGCGATTCTAAGTTTATTATTATTTATGTCCTTTTATTCTGCAGAATATGGTAGTTTAGAGGCTATATATTCACTGTAACTATCCTAATATAATTACATGGTAGACTGAATTTTGAGACCGCTGTTTTAATACTCTCTTTCATGGTCTTATGAATAGACCCAGCATCCCTGCTATGATGGAACTCTTTCCTGTAAATTAGAAAAATAATTGTTATTTTTACAATTATTTTCTCATAATCAAGAATTGCCATATGGTACTTTTGTTTCAACAGTTGTCTGACAGTTCAAAAAAACAGTTTTGCTTCTTACTATGCAATAAATTATCGTAAAATTACAATAAAACGTTAAAGAATTAAAAATAAAACTTTCTTATTTAATAATCAGTATTAATGCCCCCATCTATGTACCTGTCGGTATTACATACCTGGAGTAATTCATCAAATCAAAGTGGTTGTGATATTTTTAGAATCACCAATTTCTTTTCCATTAATGATTTGATGAATAAGTTAATGCCAAGTGTTAAAACATAAAACAAAAAACATAGTCATTATATAGTCTTAATAATTGTAATATTTTACTTAGTGTTAGTTATAAATTTGATTTGATATTAACTAATTGAATTCTGTGAATGCTTTTAGTTTATTATTTAAGACATTTTTATAGATACTGAACGATTTATGTCTTGAATGTAAATTATTGTTGTATGTGAATGTACATTCTATATTTTTGTAAATAGATATTTCATTATTGTTAGTTTATTAAGGTGTTCTAACAATATGTAAATAGATGGACGTAATTATAGTTAGAAAGAGGATAACTGAGGAACTATCTATCGATTGCTGTTTGCCATAAAAAAAAAATTTGTTTTTATAAAACTGATTATGATTGGTTAAATGTGTATTTGCTTGTACAGCTTTTTACTGAACATTTTGTAATTTTTTATTTTTATTATTATATTTTATGCTTATGACATAAATGTAATGTAAAAAAGTTAATATAATAATGCTAATGTTAAAGTATTAATTCACATTCCTGTTAATAAAATTATTTTTAAACTGTCATTTACTGTCACTAGTCAAAATAAAGTATTTCTAAATGTAAAACTTTTGTTTATTTTCCTTATATTTCATTTTTTTTTTAGATCAATAAAAAATGTAAGAAGTATATAAATTAGATTTAATAACATCATTTACTCTCCCAACCATTTTTCTTTATTTTTATAGCATTTCAGGATCCACTTTTCTTATCCCATCTTCAGACAGAATCTCCTCCTAATATCTTTTAGCAGTATCTGACTAGGCTTTCCCTAGAGGAGTCCACAATATAATTTGAGGGATCAATTATGAAAATATAAAAGTTATGACAAATCTTAAAAAAAAAAAAAAAAAAAAAAAAGATGATGATATTAGGATGATATACTATCTGAAGATGGGATAAGAAAGTGGATACCAAAAGGTCATAAAAATAAAGAAAAATTGTTGGGAGAGTAAATGCTGTTATTAGATCTTATTTATATACCTCAGATAAAAAGTATCTCCCTTAGGACTTATGAAGAAATGTATGAAGTTTAAAATAACACTATAGATGTAAATGACCTTTATCAAACATTTCCGAGGTATCTTAATACCTTGCAGCTTGTGTAACTAATATTTAAAAAAAAATAAATAAATTATATATATTTCCATCTTCAAATTGCACTAATGCCAATTTAAAAAATCAGGCATCTCTGCCAATACATAAGCAATGGCTCTAACATCAAGAAGAATGGTCCTTGGGTCTTTTTTACTTAAATTTAAATTTTTAATAAAAACATATGATTTTAGTTTAAATTGTTTTTAACTGTTACCAATTAGGTTATTTATTGTGTGCATTCTAGTATATTTAGGTTCTAAATAAATAATGAATCTTTTGAAATTAAAAGTAAAGTAGAATTTTTTAGTTGTTTAACTTTTATTGTTTATATTAATTACATATAAATAAATTCTATGTTTTCAGTTTTTTTAGCTGTTGGTAAAAAACATGTACTTTTTTATTTCTTTATTTGAAAATGAGGTTACAACTATGTAATGATGGTTAATAACAAATATGTAAACAATGACAAATTATTACTATACTTTACTTCAACAATATCGTCTTATTGTCAAAACAAATACTATTAACTTGAATTTCAATATTATTTGTTATTATTTTGTTTAAGTAATTTTCATTCCTTTCTGTTGCTTAGCATATCATTTAGTTATTGACTGGCATTGGTGTGTTATAGTGCATTTTAGGAATTTTAAAATATTGATAACGGTTCTGATTGACGTTTATAATTTTACTTTTTTTACAAAAATTTGGATTTATTTAAATATATTCTTTTTTATATTTAAATATTTCCTTTTTACTAGTGTATTTTTTTTTAACTTGTAGTATATTCTTTTGGAATGGATAATATGAACACAAACAGGAATTTGAATTTTTTTTTTAAGAATTTTAAGATGAGTATAAAAAAATAAATAAAAATTCAATAATAAAAAAAAACATTAAAAGTTTTTGCTTTATGTTTATTCTTAGTGTTTTAAATGGTACTAGTTAGTTTCAAGACCTGCACAGAAAATATTAAAATTATTATTTTAAAATACAGTATTTAAAATAAATATATTTTGTATTTTTAAATTTTAATTACAAAGTATTTAAACTGTTTTCAGAAAAAGTATTTGAAATACAAAACACCAAAAGTATTCTGTATCTTAATTACACGAAACAAAATGCAAATACAAAATACGTACATCTCATGAACTGGTGTTTTACAACAAACTCTTTAAGAAATAACTTTATTTTTGTGATAAAAGGAGTTATGAAATAAGCAAAAAAATGATATAATTATTTTAAAAACAATTATTTTATTTTATGAATTTCACATGATTCCAATGAGTCCTTTGTTTCAATAGCTGTGAATAAAAGTAATTTTTTAAATAGAATTTTTAGCGAATTGACAGAACTTTAAAAATAAAATTTCTGTAAAACATTTACTTGAAAAATTGCAATGTAAAAATTTCTAGTTCCAAAAGAACTGGAAAACGATTGATAATAAAAATTCTGATGATACCGAAACATTTGAAAAATTAATGATTTTTTTCCGTTTCAATCCCTGTTTAAAATACTTTATTTATAACTGTCAAGGTATGGTTTCAAGATCACTTCAAAGTACCGACTGCCGACTGCCGATCACTTTTGAGTTGGGGGTACAAAGATGAAAAATGGTACCCTCCGAGATGAAAAACCTGGAGATATCAGGATGAAAAAGCTATATTTCCAGATAATCGAACTTTTTATCTGACTCTGCAGCCGGTTCTGTTTTATGGTTGAGAGAAATTTAAAATTTGAAGTAAGGTTAATGAATTATTTCATTTTAACTTCACCTGAAAACGTTCATGTTATTTAATGGAAGAATAACCATCGGTTATAAGGAGAAGGAGAGGCAGTGGTGTAAAACAATGGAGGTGTACCATATTGTTGTAGCGGTCAATTTACGGGTGGCGTTACCGATGATGAGGAAGGGCCCATCAAACAGCTGATGAAGGGAAGGAATGGAGGCGCTGACCGCTGGAGAAATCTCGTGAGAGTTGTTCACGGCCACTTGGCTCCCTTCATCCGGCCAATATCTTTTTCATCCACAACTATTTTACCTCCATTATTTTAACTGCTTGCGTAATAACTGATATGAGTGTCCAGGGAAGGAGATCCACCCTTATTAGTGATCTCTCACCTAACACGAAGACTTTATTTCGACAAACAGTCCAGATCAATTCTATTAATTTAGTTTCTAACTTTACTTATATCTGATTACTTGCAGGAGTACCTTTCTCTAAAAAAATCGATGGCGCGTAAACTTCCCTCCAAAAAATTTCATTGCTCTCCTCTTCTCAAAAATAGTGCAAGCAATAGTATAATACGAACGAATTTTCAGTTCATGTAGAAATGCCCATGCTATCTGTTCTTTGTTTCCTGGTTTGGAAGTTCCTACCACTAATACTATTACTCCTACGAACTACCCCTTAAAATTCATAACCCCCGAAAATGTTAGAACCACAACTTGTGCCATGCAACCCTTTGCTAGGTAACCCTAAGTACTTACCTCTAGGAATGTTTAAAAAAAAACGTGATATGAACATTTGACTTGGATAGGCCATCTTCTTTAGTTCGTCATTGGGAAGCCAATAAACAACCAATTTTAAAGATTTATTGAGACCTATATATTCAATGAACTTTAAGGTCTTGCTCCATTAAGAGCATTCGCCAATTCATTTTATTTCATTATTAATAATACATTAAAACTAGTTGGCCCGTGCGAATAATTCGCAAAAAAATTTGTTTAGTGAAGGAATAGCAAAACAATATGGAGATAAGTGGATCCTCTGCATTATTTAAGGGAGGAATTAATTGTTCTTCTTTGGTCGATTATAATATTCCATTTAACATAGTAGACCAAAATAATTGTACAAATTGCTTTGCTAGAGCCTATTTTTAAACGCTAACTGGAAAGATAATAAAGGTAATAAGGCCCCCAAAAAATAATAAAGCCCTCAATCTTGGTATTTTCTAAATTATTGAAAAATATAAAATGTGAGAAAAAACAAATTCCTTTAAGAAATAATAAAATTAATATATCACCAAGCAAAAAAAATGTAGTAGACTATTCCACTCCTAAATGAATATCTTTAAAGAGGAAGACATTATTAAGGATACCAAAACTAATGGACTGTATCTTTGTTAATAATTGTCCAATTTTTACGACTTTTTTTTTATTTTGTAGGTAATTTATTAATCTTTCTAATATCATGGGTACTATACAGAAAAAAATTCATACTTTTTGAGTTATTCACAAATAAACATTTATTTTCCTTCATAACTTTTTTCCCAGAAATTTCGGGGAATAGGACTATTTTTCGCATGTGCAGGAATAGAATATCTTCAAAATGGGTGATCAATTATTGGATTTGATGAAGAATTGACGAAGTTATAGCGTACCGACAAAAATATATTCAACTTTTACATATATTACTGTAGGCAAATTTCGAGAATTACATTATATAATTTATTATATATTTTTCGAATTTTTACAGTGAAATATATACACTATTTCCGTAATGTTTGAAGAGTTTAAAAATTCTTCGAAAGAGATATCCATGTTTCCCTCCTTATAAGGTAATTTCTTCTTCTTGCTCCACAGGAAACGCCTCTGCAATCTAAACGGTTATACAACTTTTTTCGAAATTCGTTTGAACTTACCCCAGATCCCGCGTGACTTGAAATCTGTGGATCTTACAAGAAATTAAGCTGAAAACAGAGACAGTATGTTTATGATAAGATTGTGCCTGCTATTGTTGAGTCAAGTGTGTTTAATAAGTATTAATGCTGGTGCCAATACGGTTCTTGTAATCATATTTAATAAAAATTACCGTAGTAACTTCAGATAACATAACACAAACTAATATTAAATAAAAATTATTAGTGAATAACAAACATAAATCTATAAAAATAAACAATATTTTTATTAGTTTATTGAACTAACATTTCCCTGTCGTTTCGTTTAGCCTGTATGTTTAACTGAGAATTGAAAAACGTTCTGAATTTTTTATCTTTCTAATTCTACCCTTTTTTTGTGGAATTCACATTTTATTATAGAATTTCAAGAGTGTGGATGGTATTAGAAGAATGTTTCATGTCATGAATTTTTACTATATTAAATTAAATAATGAAAATTAGTTAGAAAACAAAGTAAAATTAAAAACTTATAAAAAAATCCTTGTTATATATAAAATGTGATTTTTCAACTATGCTAACCTATTACAAAGTTTCAGTCTTAGTAATTATTTTTTTAAATCGATGTATTTTATTATTATTATTATTTTGTTCTTTATTTATTCATAAATATTACAATCTGTCACAATTAAGAACATTTATAATAATGTTCAGAGAGCACATTCACACTCTATTTACAATAAATAAAACAGAAAATAATAATACTAAAAGTAAATTTATATAAACAAAAGAACTAAACTAATCAAAATAACAACTAAAACACATGCAAACGTTTATACTTTTATTATGTATTTAA